CTGTAGTAAGTGATATTGCATTATTTTTCAGTTTATTTATTGGAAAATGTCTGATGTTGCAGAGGAACATGTGGCCTGGCGTAAATGTATTGAGGTACACATTACAATACGAGCTGTTTGGCGTTCCAACTCTCCAAAGCTGAGCTTGATAGCTTTTGTCTACTCAAACGGTTATTTCATGCAACAATGAGTCATAAAAGCTGATTATGGAAATTACAAAATAGTATAACCATTTCCTTCCAGTAAGTTCCATAAATGGTACTACCATTTCCTTCCACTAAGTCCTATAGATGGTATACCCATTTCCTTCAAGTAAGTTCTATAAATGGTACTACCATTTCCTTCCAGTAAGTCCTATAGATGGTATAACCATTTCCTTCCAGTAAGTTCCATAAATGGTACTACCATTTCCCTCCAGTAAGTTCCATAAATGGTACTACCATTTCCCTCCAGTAAGTTCCATAAATGGTACTACCATTTCCCTCCAGTAAGTTCCATAAATGGTACTACCATTTCCTTCCAGTAAGTTCCATAAATGGTACTACCATTTCCCTCCAGTAAGTTCCATAAATGGTACTACCATTTCCTTCCAGTAAGTCCTATAGATGGTATAACCATTTCCTTCCAGTAAGTTGTATAAATGGTACTACCATTTCCTATCAGTAAGTTCCATAAATGGTATAACCATTTTCTTTCAGCAAGTTCTATAAATGGTACTACCATTTACTTTCAGCAAGTTCCATAAATGGTACTACCATTTACTTCCAGTAAGTTCTATAAATGGTACGACCATTTCCTTCCAGTAAGTTCCATAGATGGTACTACAATTTCCTTTCAGCAAGTTCCATAAATGGTACTACCATTTCCTTCGAGCAAGTTCCATAAATGGTACTACCATTTACTTTCAGCAAGTTCTATAAATGGCACTACCATTTACTTCCAGTAAGTTCTATAAATGGTACGACCATTTCCTTCCAGTAAGTTCCATAGATGGTACTACAATTTCCTTCCAGCAAGTTCCATAAATGGTACTACCATTTACTTTCAGCAAGTTCCATAAATGGTACTACCATTTCCTTACAATAAGTTCCATAAATGGTACTACTATTTACTTTCAGCAAGTTCCATAAATGGTACTACCATTTACTTCCAGTAAGTTCTATAAATGGTACTACCATTTACTTTCAGCAAGTTCCATAAATGGTACTACCATTTACTTTCAGCAAGTTCCATAAATGGTACTACCATTTCCTTCCAGTAAGTTCTATAAACGGTACAACAATTTCCTTCCAGTAAGTCTTTAAATGATACTTCTACAGAGCTAAGGATATGTATATTTAATCTCATAAAATATCAAATCTCTTACTCCAATGTAACAAATGTTATATTGGGGATAACACTTTCATAGTAAAGTACTTTTGGGGGTTTAGTCCCATCTGGAATTCAAACCCACACTGCAACTAGCACAGTGAAGCAACTAATTGCCAGCAAACAAAGTTGGCGATCTAACCCACTCAGCCACTGAGGCTTCCACAAAATGAAAGTCCAACAACTAGTAGTCTCGATCAGATACTTTGTGTACCCCTCTGATAAGTGTAAATTGGCACGGCTCCCTTGGCTGAAAGCTATGAACACACAATGCAACACCTCTCTGCAGCAATAGAAACTGACATTTTTGGTCTAGTAGTCCTCATAATGATAACACAGCAAAATCCTAAGAAATGGCACATTTCTACTAGTCCTTACGATTCCTCAACTAATGGGCAGTTTGGCAAGGACTATAGGACAAGTGCCAATTTCTAATGCGGCTCTGTGTCAAGATCTATGGACAGCTCCATTGAAGGTCATGACGGATGAACCTTGAGTGAACTATGACCTCCCAATTTAAATGAAGGATGCATGGGTTCTTGAGCCAATCAGATGTCAGCTCTCTTCAACATTTCTTTACCACGTTCATTCAGAAATATCGATTTGTACAGAAATATCGATTTGTACCAATGAAAACCCACATGGACCACACATCTTCCTTTGATCTTACTGCCTTTTGGATGTAGATGCCATTTCGTTCAGAAACGACCGGGCGTACTACATATTCACAATAATACAATAGCATGATTTTATTTTTTGCCTGTCGGATGTCCTCAATTATTTTCTTTTTCAAGATATAGAAATCAGACACGCTTGTCTGTCTGTTTTGTTCATTGTACTGAGAATTTGAAAGCCTGTGTGGTAATTGGCTGATTAGAATGTACACCTGACACGACCTCCTATGGGGGTGTCCTCAATCTTCACCCAGAACGATATACCACATAAGAGTCCAAGATCTGATTTGAATGAGATTAGTATATGTGTGTATAGTTGCATCCAGTGTGACAATTACTCATCGCTGTCTTAAACGAACCTTGTGGAAGGAAGTGGACAAATGTCTATAGGGCTGACAAGTAAAAATCAACCAGTACACAGGGATATATCACGAGTCCTGCCTGAGTTTTACTTGTCTCGGAAAAGTGAACACAGGGCAACACATTGACCGAAAGCAGCGCTTACTTCTTATTGAAGGGGAACCAGTGAAGATCTTGGTTAGAATAGGTCTTCAGCAACCCATGCTTGCTGTAATAGGCGACTATGCTTGTCGTAAGAGACGACTAACAGGATCAGGTGGTCAGGCTCGCTGACTTGGTTGAAGCATGTCATCGATCCCAATTGCTTGGATCGATGCTCATGATATCAATCACTGGATTGTCTGGTCCAGACTCTATTATTTACAGACCGCCGTCATATAGCTGGAATATTGCTGAGTGCGGCGTAAAACAACAAACCAAACAACTTATGGAAGGGGACTCATAATGACTGACTGAACTGAAAGTAACTTTGCTGCAATAGAAACTAACCTGAAATCTTCACTATCCTGAATAGTGACAGTACATAAGAACACTCTCTAAACTCTCTGAAACTTTCAAGCCCACTGAATACCTAGGTTAAGTACCACGCTTCAGTTGCCCTACATATGGTTGAGTCCATTGAACAAACCAATGCCCTCATCATCTACAAACTGTATTTTCTTGAATATAGGGCACCCCCCAAGCATAATCAAGATAATGTGCAGTATTTTGGAGAAAAACATAGATTTTTAAAGTATAATATGCAGTCAAACACCACATAATAACACTTCAGAAGAACAAACAGAAGAGAACAAACTTGGTTAATGAAAGTGTGACTTTTTGATAAAAACATCACCACTGGTCACCGACCAGTTATTGCCATTTTTGCGTGTTATTTCTTAAATATTCCGTGTACAAAGTTGAATGTTTCAATAACTTTGATTTTTGGAAACTATGAGAAAATGCATGTATTTCTGTTGGAGGAAAAGGTTACAGTAGATTTCTGTCATAATGAGACGATAAGGAATCAAAACAGTGGGAAAAAGAAGTTTCCCATTGACCAACTGTACCAGTTATCGCCATTGTCTGAAGAGCACATGCCCTGGATCATGCACACTTCTTAAGTTATACAAATTAGATTTTCTATTTTCTCTGATATCGCACTCAATTTTATATTCATTACAATTAATAAGAAATGCTTTTAACAATTTGTCATCTGCAAACTGACGAAAACCAATATTACCCTAAATTGACTTACACATGCTTATCCTCAACACTATGTACTTTGCAATTCGCGATATTTATACAGGGTTATGCATTTTTGGAAAAATAGCTCAAATAGGTTTTAGAATTATATTTTGGGAAAGAAATGACAGACAATAAGCTATGAATGTGCATCATCGTGTTGTTGGATTGTTGTTTACACATGAATTAGTCACGGGACACCCTCTGTGTCTTTTGTAAAGTTGTATTTGAGCAATGTGATTATATGGTGCGTTTTTTAATATTTCCTCACATGAAACCGTTTTGTACACCATTTTTGGATAAATATTTCTCTCTTCTAATGAAAATGAACAAAAGTAAAACAAGATGCGATCACATGCACACTATAACATGGATTTGGCGATAATTGGTCCTCGGAGATAACTGGTTGCTAGCCAAGAGACATGAAGATTTACTACTTAAATCTTATTTCAAGTTTGCTAGATATTTTTTATATGCAGAGATCAAGACTATCATGTGTATTTGTCCTGAAAACAAAGCTGGAAATAGCACTCAGCCGTCCACATCTTCTCACAAACCTATCAGCAATCAAGTAAATATAATATCCAATAGAATTTTAATACTATGATTGGCAGAAACTGTTTCTGAAACTATTATTCAACTAGGAACAATCTGCTTCAATTTCGTGTGAGTTTAGTGGCAGTTTAACATTATAACAATATGCATAGCTTTTTACGTATGGAACAGTTTGATGCTAATGCTATAGTCCCAAATGAAGCAAAACTAGATTTTCCTCAGGTTCAGGTTCTGAATCTCCCATATTACTAGGGCTCCTTGTCAATATAAATGGAGTTGTTCGTTTCTTCCAAAATCATATATTTTCAGAGAATAGGCGTTAGTCTAAAGTGTGTGTGTGATCAGAACTATTTTCAGAGAATAGGCGTCAGTCTTACATGCTTGTACCAGTCCAGACATACAACAGTTTTATAGTGTTATTCCAATAAGATACCATGCTGCAGATACACATGGATATCCCACTCAGACAGATTATATTGACTACGAAATGGCCAGTTCTTGTATAATCCCCTTGATGTCGAGTGCCAGGCAGAGTAACAACAAGTACAATCTGTTAACATTTTTTGCTATGATAAAGCACGAGGATGGAACCACCGACCTGCTGTATGTTGGCTCCTATTCCTCATATCTGTGTTATTCAACTGGTATTCAAATCATTGTTTAGTAGGCAACAAGGAAGGGCATGACTAATTTTCTATTTTCACAAACATTTACACTATGACCAGCAGATGTGTTATAATAATCTAATGGCATAAAATACAGAGATGTATCTAGCAACACAGAACCACTCAGTAAGTGAGGCTTTCATTTGATACCTACCATTCGAACAATCTCCGGATACGTAGGTTCTGTCAGAACATTGCGTGTAGCTGTGATGTAATCCACTAATTCATTCAGACAGGCCCTTTTAATTTCCTTACTCTTCAAATCTGACACAGGGTCCATAAAGTCAAACACAACACAACATTGCTGAAGCTTCTTGATGAACAAGTCCTGCTGTTCCCCAGGTGGAGTATCTGAAATGATAGATATTTCATAAATAAGATGTGTTAGACACCACAAACAAATACAGCCTAATGCCATCTTTCCAGCTGTACCAGTGATATCGAGGTCAACAAAAATTAACAAATTCTAGTTACTGTTGGGAACATCGGCCATGAATCATGATTGCGAGCACTCAACTTCTTGCCCACCCTAGTGGTATATTATCAAATATCATACCCCACTATGGCATTACCTTTGGGAACAATGACAGCCTGCAACATACACAACTAATCTGAAGCCCGAGTAAAGCAAAATTTTGTTCATAAAAAGTCCATATCATGACACTTAAATCTACAAACACAAGATTCATACGGACATGAAACACTAAAATTCAAGGCCTTTAACAAAATTCAAGGCTATCAACTGTCCTTTTCAAGGCTTAAGTTGGGTTATTACTTTATTATATCAAGCATACTGTCTATTATATTAGTTGTAAGAGCTAAAAGCAGTGTGAACATAACAAATTTTTCACAATCTGTCAAGATTTTTAAATTATCTTACCATGCTTGCAGTTTAATTCAGGAGTGGAGGGGAGAAGGCTTGTGCTTTTAGCCCCCAAAATTTAAAAAAAAAGAAACCCACACTTCCAAAGACAATGTTGCATTTTAATGTTGTATGTTGTGCTATATGGGTAAGAGTGGGTGTACCTCTGGAATATTTGAAATTTTGAGATAAAAGGCCAATGTCAGAAAATTCCTAGAGGTGACCCTGCTCTTATATACAAGTACATGTCAGTTTGTACAAATTCAAGGCTTCTCAAGATATTTTGGTGATTTTCAAGGCCTTTTAAGGTTGACACAAAACAATCAAGGCTTTTCACAACGGACCTTAAATTCAAGGCCTTTTCAGCCTTGTGATGATGATACCAAGTTTGGGCAGGTAGACTCAAAAGCTTTTGGCACAGAATGCAATAATGATCTGAAAATCAGGATGATGTGACCTTGAATTGTTTTCGTTAATGAAACATTCTAAAGTTATGAACTGCAGACATCTTTAGTGATGTTATGGTTCCAAAAATCGTGAACTGGTTATTTGACCTACTGTAACCTTTCATTTATACCAAAATATTCAAAATATCTTGTGCAAGGTACAACATTCAAACAGCAATAATTCCTGACTGACATTCACTGTATTATTTCCTGTTCTGCATGAACATGCAAGATGTGTGAGAACGTAATCAATTCTTGTCATTTGGATTCTAGGAAATATGTGTTACCATGGTTACTATGACATACAACATTTAATGAATGAATGTTGTCTCACATTCATGAATTCACTCATTGGACTAGTTGACTGTTGAGCATGGCATACAAATTAGACTTTATTTTACTCAGAACAAAGACTGGTCATGAATATGTGCATTATAGACTTGCAAAGTATGTAGTTGGTTATTATTCTTAAATTTAGCTTAGTATTTGATTATTATGACCAGCATTGTCGATGATGATGTTTTTAAAAACTGTTGTTTTATTATTCAATATGGGGAATGTGTGACAGCAATGAGGTTATCGGTGATATATCACCAGCATATTACGTGATTTACATCATTGATATACTGTAAAAAACTGAGGATTCAGGACCTTTTTTATAACAATCTTATTGTAAATACATCAGATTGTGACAATATAAATATTGATAGTTTCAGAAATGTTACTGCAAATGATTATTAATGATATTAAACAAAGACAATGATTACCGACTTGCACATTTCTTAAATAGAATAGGAATTCTAATCAAAGAGTAACCGGTTGCAACAGGCCGAGACATCTTTGATATTACATTGTATCATGCTAAAAAGAATTGCCCATACAAAATACAGTCCCAGTATCATTTTCAACAGTAACTTTAAGTGAGTGAGTATGGTTTTAGCCACTATGGGCAATATTCTAGGAATGGGCTTCACACATTGTACCCATCATGCCCATGTGGGAACTCGAACCTAGGTCTCGGGGCTACGAGTGGACGCTTGAACCACTAACCTACACCACTGTCCCAGATTTCACCTTAAACAAATGTAGATCTATCAGCTGAGTGTACTAAGAGGTTTAGTCCCAGACATTTGCAATCCAACATGATCAAGGAAAAGATCTAATTACTTGTGATGGGGATCAATCTGAAAGTTCTGATGGATGATCATTCAATATGACCAACCAATATTAAAGCTTCTGTTAGTCTATGCAGTAGTGTTTTCATCTACACAGTATGGCTGTTGAGCCTACAAAATGTTTCCAGTTCAGTTCACAATGGTTCAGTCCAAACGGCTTATCTAAGTTCCTATTTGAAGATAAAGAAAGAAGGATAAAACTGCTCCTTCACAGTCACCCCCATTGTAATCATAATGGCTGGAAACACATGGCTGGTAGTTGCATTACATGTATCAGCTGTTAAGACAGTACAGACATGATATTCGTTAAACTATCCACATCATGAGCATCGATCTATGCAAATGGGATACATTAACAATGACACGCATCAATCATGTCAACGTGTCTGACTACTTGCTTCTTGCGACAGCATGGGTTGAAGACCAATTCTTTATCTTTTCAAAACTTGGGTCAGACCCTTGACTTCTAAAACTGTATTGTATACTCCAAAAACATATTTAGGCTACCTAGTCTGGTTTGGACCTGATGGGGAAATTTCTTTTCATCATGTTCATATTAAGAAAAGTCGAAGACTCAAAAGTCATTGAATATGTATGTGAAGTCAAAATAACTTCTAAAATTAATATCATAAATATAAACAGACTTGTAAATATTAGTTTGCATGTAACATCATAAGTAGTTTAAATGCCAATGTTCTGATTTGACCAGAAACCTCTGGAGTCACTATTGCCAAGGTTTTACAAGCACGATATCTCCATTCTATTATGACATATATTCTGGACACAATCACCACTCTAACTTTGTTTCGCAAGTGATGCTTCAGCTCCGTCTCTCTCATCAATAATTTAACAACAGAACTTATCTCACTCATGAGCTCAAAAGAAAGAATGTATGAAAATTCCTCTTCTGAACACATAGTTATTTGTTGTTTAAGACCACACACTGCTATATGATAGCGATCTGTAAATCAAAGAGACTGGTCCAAATGTCCAGTGATTGCTATTATGAACAATGTCCCAGGCAGATCAACCAAGTAACAGACAGTAAAACCCCATCCATTTTGTCACCTTCTACAAGCATACTGTAGGTGCTGGGAACCTCTTCTAACCTGGAAACCCATGGTAGTTTGGTATGCCATAGACCATTAGACCTAATCTTATTTTGATTAATTCATGTATGATTAATTCATAATAAGAAAACAAAATTCAAATTAGTGTCATGAATGAACTTTTAGAAGGAAGGGATGTTTTCCTGAGTACTAAGAATAAGACAAGGGTGAGAACTCCTTATGCTACAAGGCCGGATATTCAAAAAGGCATGGTGGCGAATGAGTGATGTATTTGTCACAAAATAGAATGGAAATTAATAAAACTGTGGTAACATGTGAACATGTGTAATAACAGAGATTTTAAATTGTGATTTCAAAGATTAGTGACATAATGTCCATGTCTATTATCGTCATATAAAAAATCATGGTAGTAATGTACATCCTTGAAGTGTGAACAAGGACAGGTACTCATGAGCCTAATATAGCCTGAGGCCTGAGTGTATCCAATCATTTGATTATACCAGTTTATTTCAAACCTATGATTTGCAGATTCATAGATTAGTGACTGTGTCGAACCCTGACTAATTACCTTTGCAGTTTGTTTCCTCCCTGTATCCACCTTATCAAATACACAGAACTTTTATGTAAGTACAGATGTAATTCAGATCTTACTATAATTCTCTTGAATATCTTTATAGATGAGCTACTTAACAATATCTCAATACCTGCATAATTGTAATATATCCCTGCTTAAGAAAGTCTAAAGGTACTCAAGTGCAATTCTTATTGTGGACATTGCATAACAGTAAGTGAATAATGCACATATCGATTAATCACATAGCCAACTTGTACTTAAGCTGATTAAAGAGAATAAAACACACTTCAATGGCATTTGAGATAGATTAAAACTGACACCTGCATATAGTGTTTTTAATGTAAATATGTAATAAATAATTAGGATTCATGTAGAATTGATTGAATTCAAACACATTTGCCATGCTTTGAAAGATTATCTCAAAACTTTACACTTGTTTATCTATGAACAGTCCATGCAAAGCATTCACAATTATTCTTATAGTCACATCAAGATGTTTCTAAAGTACTTGTTGCATACTAACATAGCCAAAATGGCGTAGAATGCTATTTTGGAACCATTTTCTTAAAGTCTATTTCAAAAAGGTTCCATTTGACTAAATATATAATGATGATAATTATGAGGGGGAATATTATCCACAGTTTAGCTCACACATAACGAAATTGATACGACGACACAATAAAATTGGAAATTACAACGACAAAATTGTTTTATTAACAGTTATGCTATTGTAATGTAGTGTTTGAAACAGACTATAACCGGCCATGATGCCAATGGCACCGGTCTGAAATATCATAAATTAATCAGACATATCAACATGTGAGAAGTATAGAAAGTGTACATTGGACGGCATTACAAATTTTATGACTATCACTAATCTTACCTTTAAGATGAGGTAAAGCCTGCAACTCAGGGGCATTTTTAGTCCGATAATGCGATGAACCCTGAGACCGTTTCTGTTTTTTAGATTTGATAGACACCTTACTGGTGAAAGGGTCGATTCTATCGGCAACCTTCGCAGACATGATGGTATTTTCTATCGCAGGCGATATCGCCGCGATCCCGTAAGTGAATATGAACCTGACTTTCTAATTCATAATCGCTGATTCGCTCCAAGTTTTGAACATGGCCTCTGCTGATGCATTGCAAATTGACAATCCGTGGATACACTTGACAGCGCACTTCACTTCTCCAAATGGTAATTTATGCTCCGCTGACTACTCCATGTAACAGACAGATGTCATAAGATTGACCCAATATATGTATCCAATGAAGAGATCTCACTTAAAGTGTTGTTTTGAGGGCATACAAACTCGCAAACAGATAATCACAATGTTGCTACTAATGGTTTCCTTCACATCTCGTCATGCGGCAAGTCCGAGAGACTTCAACGAGATTTGAACGACCTCGTTCCCGAGCTTGAGGTCACAGGGTCATAGGGTCGCTACGAGCGAATGTTTACACACCAACGCTAAATAATAATCCAACGTGAATACATTTAATGATTTATAACCGTAGACTGTGTTTTTAAGTCGCATTGTTAGACATTCCATATCTCCTATCCTTGAGTATCATTTAATTCTTCCGTATTAGCAATTTTCTTCACTTTATATTGTGTTTAATGTATGCGGTAATCAGTTCTGAATGTGTACTGTATTCTATCAGAGACCATATACCGGTATATGGTCTCTGATTCTATTAAATATATTCTGCATTGTTTTTCTCAACGCATAGGCATAGGCATTTTTTGCACACTGATTAAAATAAGATATTACACAGATTTTATGTTCCTTCAAATATTGAATACAAAATAAAGCAATCTTATATGACTACATATGCATGTACAGTTCATATATTTTTGTGGTTTATCATTGTGTGAACATTCCTAGCTTGTGTGGGATATTAAGTCACATTCAACTGCAGATATTTCCTTATTGTTTTGTTCCTAGATCGACCCATATTTGATAAGAGGAAACTCCCAAATACTTGTTAATACAAATACTGTACGATATGTATCCGATACGGATGTTGAGATGTATATTTCTTTAAAAAGAAATGACATATCTAAGTAAAGCCGGATTGATACACGTGTATTTCGTGAAAGTATTTGTTGAAATGATAATCACGATTTTCTGAAAGGAATATTTTTGTATGTACAATATTGCAAGAAAAAACGCTTAGATTGTTCTAAGAATACCTTCAATGTTTAATGAAATGAAGGTTAATGTTTCGATAAAGCATCTTTCAAATGTCCAATGATAGGCCTACATAGTTTAATTTACTTCGTTTTGCTTTTTAAAGCAAAACATTGTCTTTTAGATGAGCCTGTTTTTGAAACACCCCAATCAACACCAGAATGAACATGCATTAGCACTGCACTTTCACCACATACAACATTCCGCGTTTTATCATCTATTGAGTGAATCTATCAGTAATTACGACACAGGTAGACATCGCAATAAAAAAAAACCCTGCAACACAGCGAGTATGTTTGTGCACGGCACACCTCTATCGTTTGTATAGCTGGTCCTTTGTATAGTGGGGACGTTCCTTACGTTACGTACGATGAAGGCCCAAATTTTAAAAATATACCTAAGGCTATCAGTTCAAGGTTCAATACCTTTTGTTTTTTTAAATCTACCTTTGTTTATGTGTTTTGTATGGATGTCTGGTGTGTGTTCATTGAAACTTAATTAAATGCATTGATTTAAAATAAATAAATATCTTTAAGGACTTATGGTCACGTCCTCTAGCAGTACTGATGTATTTAAATTATATTCACGATTTACAATAACGCATGGTATTTAATTGAACAGAATATTTATAACATTTAAAGTAAAATTTTGAAATGTATATTGTGTTTAAATTGTCACCGAACGATTTAAGCCGACCCCGACCATTCTACCTTCTGGACAGCGATATTTATTGTTTTAAAACAAATAGAACTCTTAGATCTTTTACCCAATGAAAGAGACGTCTCATAAAAGATTGTAACGTTCTGTACTGTTTTAGTTCTCTTTGTTTGTCATGTCGTTTTATGCATACAATCTCCTAGCACCTTCATTTATTCAAAGAATTCTCTTGCGGGTAATACAGTATTGTCATTGTTATTGTCATTTATATTCATTCTGGTTTGAACTGGTGAATAATTTTCCAATTGCATTTGCTGTGAAGTTAAGGTAAAATAGCCAAGGTTTGCTTTTAAAACAGATCTGTAAATCTGTATGGTCTCTGCCTTTAGAGTCCCCAACACCAATGTTACACCAATACAATGATCATATGCACCACCTCTTTGTAAGCGCGTTGTTACATCCGATTATCAATTCACATTGTACGGACTTGAACGTTCTACGGATGCTACCTTTGGCTTAATGATCCCTTGAATACACCAATCAGGATTTCTCATGGAGGGAGTCGCAATATACACCCCACTACACAGTGAGGACACCCCGGCACACCTGTAGCGTTTAACTTGTAATTAATTATCTTGTATATTGTGGACGTTCTGAGCAGCAAACTAAGGACGGAGTGAGAGGCTGATACATACTGAACAAACATAGTTAGGGATCATAAATATTTTTGGGCATAATTTTATGAAATTGTGTGTTCAATCTTCACTACAAAAAAATACACTAAAAAATATTCATGATCCCTAACGATGTTTGTTCAGTATGTAACAGCCACGCTCTCAACCCTTCGTATGCCTTCAGAACGTCCACAATATACAAGCTAATTAAACAACGTTTTTTGTTCTGTGTATATCTGGGAGGATAAACAAAGGTTTATGTACAACACTGGGAGGATGGAGAGAGGTGTATGGACAACACTGGGAGGATGGAGAGAGGTGTATGTACAACACTGGGAGGATGGAGAAGTTTATGTACAACACTGGGAGGATGGATGGAGGTTTATGTACAAAACTGGGAGGATGGAGAAGTGTAGGTACAACACTGGGAGGATGGAGAGAGGTTTATGTACAGCACTGGGAGGATGGAGAGAGGTTTATGTACAACACTGGGAGGATGGATGGAGGTTTATGTACAAAACTGGGAGGATGGAGAGAGGTTTATGTACAACACTGGGAGGATGGGGAAGTTTATGTTCAACACTGGGACGATGGAGAAGTTTATGTACAGCACTTGGAGGATGGAGAGAGGTTTATGTACAACACTGGGAGGATGGAGAGAGGTTTTTGTACAACACTGGGAGGATGGATGGAGGTTTATGTACAAAACTGGGAGGATGGAGGGAGGTTTATCAACAACACTGGGAGGATGGAGAGAGGTTTATGTACAACACTGGGAGGATGGAGAAGTTTATGTACAACACTGGGATGATGGAGAGAGGTTTATGTACAACACTGGGAGGATGGAGAAGTTTATGTAAATTTACAACACTGGGATGATGGAGAAGTGTAGGTACAACACTGGGAGGATGGAGAGAGGTTTATGTACAACACTGGGAGGATGGAGGGAGGTTTATCCACAGCACTGGGAGGATGGAGAGAGGTTTATCCACAGCACTGGGAGGATGGAGAGAGGTTTATGTACAACACTGGGAGGATAGAGAGAGGTTTATGTACAACACTGGGAGGATGGAGAGAGGTTTATGTACAACACTGGGAGGATGGAGAGAGGTTTATGTACAACACTGGGAGGATGGAGAGAGGTTTATGTACAACACTGGGAGGATGGGGAAGTTTATGTTCAACACTGGGACGATGGAGAAGTTTATGTACAGCACTTGGAGGATGGAGAGAGGTTTATGTACAACACTGGGAGGATGGAGAGAGGTTTTTGTACAACACTGGGAGGATGGATGGAGGTTTATGTACAAAACTGGGAGGATGGAGGGAGGTTTATCAACAACACTGGGAGGATGGAGAGAGGTTTATGTACAACACTGGGAGGATGGAGAAGTTTATGTACAACACTGGGATGATGGAGAGAGGTTTATGTACAACACTGGGAGGATGGAGAAGTTTATGTAAATTTACAACACTGGGATGATGGAGAAGTGTAGGTACAACACTGGGAGGATGGAGAGAGGTTTATGTACAACACTGGGAGGATGGAGGGAGGTTTATCCACAGCACTGGGAGGATGGAGAGAGGTTTATCCACAGCACTGGGAGGATGGAGAGAGGTTTATGTACAACACTGGGAGGATAGAGAGAGGTTTATGTACAACACTGGGAGGATGGAGAGAGGTTTATGTACAACACTGGGAGGATGGAGAGAGGTTTATGTACAACACTGGGAGGATGGAGAGAGGTTTATGTACAACACTGGGAGGATGAAGAGAGGTTAGTGTACAACACTGGGAGGATGGAGAAAGGTTAGTGTACAACACTGGGAGGATGGAGAGAGGTTTATCCACAGCATTGGGAGGATGAAGAGAGGTTAGTGTACAACACTGGGAGGATGGAGAGAGGTTAGTGTACAACACTGGGAGGATGGAGAGAGGTTAGTGTACAACACTGGGAGGATGAAGAGACGTTAGTGTACAACACAGGGAGGATGGAGAGAGGTTAGTGTACAACACTGGGAGGATGGAGAGAGGTTAGTGTACAACACTGGGAGGATGGAGAGAGGTTAGTGTACAACACTGGGAGGATGGAGAGAGGTTAGTGTACAACACAGGGAGGATGGAGAGAGGTTAGTGTACAACACTGGGAGGATGAAGAGAGGTTAGTGTACAACACTGGGAGGATGGAGAAAGGTTAGTGTACAACACTGGGAGGATGGAGAAAGGTTAGTGTACAACACAGGGAGGATGGAGAGAGGTTAGTGTACAACACTGGGAGGATGGAGAGAGGTTAGTGTACAACACTGGGAGGATGGAGAAAGGTTAGTGTACAACACTGGGAGGATGAAGAGACGTTAGTGTACAACACTGGGAGGATGGAGAGAGGTTACTGTACAACACTGGGAGGATGGAGAGAGGTTACTGTACAACACTGGGAGGATGAAGAGACGTTAGTGTACAACACTGGGAGGATGGAGAGAGGTTAGTGTACAACACTGGGAGGATGGAAAAATGGTCGAATGATTTGATAGTCATGCAGAAAAGGAAAAGTTTTTCTTCTGTTTCTTTCAGTTTTCTTTTCTAATTATTTCGAATTGTTCCAGTACTTACAACTGTATAGTATGCTCTTGCACCCTTTATACTACGTTATTCAGGACAGCCGAAAATACATAACCATGTATACAGATGTCAAGAGTGCTGACTGTCACCCGTCATCTATGAACACGCTCATAAATCCTCGTACTAACCACAGCATCGAAAACAACAATGAATTTTTTAAAACTTTTGCAAATATGGCAAGGTTCAAATCAGCATAACCAGGACCCAAACTGCAAATATTGACTGACCTATTTCCAACTTGA